CGATACCTGTGGGCTCCCGGTCTTTAGAGGTCGCTATGGCTATAGTTCCATGGGCACACCAAAGTAAGTGGTTCAAAGGTCAACATATTTCAACAGCAGACGGAATTAGGTCAGAATACAAATTGCAGAGGTTTTCATGCAAATGACAGGAACTGGGAAATAAGTAGTGAAACCTTGAGGTACAGTAATGTTAACACATACTACAATTTCACAATAGTGTTTTAATATCAGAAACACTTTTTGATGACAATTTGAAAACACCTTCAATCAATCAACCTATCAGTCAATCAGCGACCCTCAATGTTACCGGGCAATGCTACGCACACCAGTACGTGTTACCCACCGACATTGTAAATATAGCCGGGCATATTACTATGAATTCAACTAGGGTCATTCAGGACTCACAAAGCAACAATTCAAGAAGCTAGGCGGCCAGCAATTTTGCATGAGGGGCGAGATCTGAAATCTAGACCCTCTGAAACGCTATTTCCTGCATTTTGTGGGGCAAATTTTGTTGACACAAAGGGTTTAACCTTCTTTTATTCGGGTGGGCGACCGCCCCTCTGCCCCCCGATGCCGCCACCACTGAATAATTCATGGTTAAATGTCACAGATACTGTAATGATATTTTTTTAAATTATAATTTACATATTTTTACTGTTTAATAAATTGTTATTACTCTTTAATCATTTCGTTTTAATTTGGATAAGACTGATTTCTAAATAGTGTAAAGTAGTGCTTAATTGCTTGCTTAATTTTTTTTTTTTTCATTTCCTAAGTTTTTAAAATTTGATATCTATTGCTACCAATAACACCTAAGTCGATTTTTGAATGCTAGTCTTTATTTATATGCACTAATGTAAACCTCACAGAATGCTTATTAGGGAAACATTCATACTTGCAGTGTGCAATTTGAGTTGGTTCCAACTTAATTTGTGCACATATGTGTCCAAAATAATGGATTACATGTATGTGAGAAAAAAACAAAAACACCACAACATTTTTTGTAAGGATAGCAAATCTTTTTTTCGCGAGATAACAAATATGTGTTTCCTATCAAGGTTGTTGAATTAGATGAAAGCTGGAAATTTGAAATTCAATACAAAATGTCCCCAGTGTTAGGAGAGGCTGAATATATTAGTACTGTAAAAGATGTCTTTTTAGCTAGCATGTTATTTTAGCTAATTTAGCTAATCTGTATTTTCGCTAATTCAAGATGCAGCTAATTTAACATAAACTATATTCTCACAATGAGATAGTCGACACTTTAGCTAAATTAAGAATCTGTTAATTCATACCAAGAGTCAAATCTGCTAAAATTGAATGCAGCTATTTCAACGTGTTCTACAGTAAACTCTCTATAAACATTATTTGAAGTGATTTATTTCGAGTGCACAGCATTCAGGAAGTGTTGCTAGGTCTCTGTGAATACAAACCATGCTGGTAGATAATTTTATTAATTTGTGTCAATGATAAATATGGAAATGATTATTTGATTATTTTAATTAATTAAGACACCAACATGTACTGCATTTTGAAGCAGTGGGAAGATCCTTCCTTAAATGCACATTAAAGAGGGGGAGTCGTCACCTGTGCATGTGTCAGATGGCCATAGCGTGACATTGTTTACAAACATGAGCCTTTGCATTTTTAGCATGTGTTGTTATCGTCGCAGATGACGATCCTCCGGCTTTAACTACCTGATGTAATTTATATAAATGTGCTAATTGAATTTCTTTGTTGGCCTTAAAGCAGTAATCTGTGATTTTGAACTATTTTGGTTTAAATATAATCAAACAAAAATGACCAAATCTTACCGATAAGAAAGTCCCTCGCTATAAAGCAATGTTCATAGGGACTTAACTAGGGAATTCAATATTAACTTTCTGTATGAATCTTGTTTGCCCCCTCTGTAAAATTATATGTATTTAACATATAACTCCCACTGTAGCAAAGGCATTCCTTTCATTATTCACAATTTAAACAGAAATGAGAGGTTTTCATTGGCTGAATAGAAATTGAGAGGTATCTATTGGCTGAATAGAAAATGAGAGGTTTCTATTGGCTGAATAGCATTGATATGTTTTTAATGAAAAAATTGCACCACAGACAAAAGACATGTGTGGCTATTTTAGAGGACCTGACTGTGCTAGTCTGGAAGTGTGTTTCTGCATTGTGACAATGCATTTTTACTTTTTACATTTTGCTACTGTAATTGCAGGTCAAACATCAGTCTATTTTGACCTCCACGAGAAAACTATAACTACTAATCACTGTTGTGAGAATTTTGGGACATAATAGTAAAAAACAAATTATAAAAATAATCAAAGAATAAACATGAACAAAAAATGCCTATAAAATTCTAATTTTAATCAGATTGACATATGTATAGGATAAATATTAGCTAATAAAAATGATGTAATAGATTGACATCAACAGGTGCCAAAGGATACTCCCAGATGAGTATCAATACATACATACCTGTTGACATCAAAAAAACACTTTTCTTTCAATAAATATTATTTTTCTTATCATTGATTTTCAGCATGACTTCCGATAATCCTGTATGCTTTTCTGAGTATATTGATGTGAATGGAGTGAATACACATGTGTTGAAATATGACTATGACAGAAAAGAAAACTTACATCAGAAAGATACTAATGAACATTCCAAGCGTTGTGATGTGTTAGTGCTACTAATACCAGGTACTGAGTGTTTTCAGCTGCAGTGATCTTTCAATTTGGAAGATTACTTAAAGGTGTTAAATACAAAACAAAGAATTTTTGAATAACTAAATTCAGAATAAATATTCATAGTTTAGCTATTTGAAAAGGTAGATACACCCAACCAAAAACTCTGTTAGAAAGTAAGACTTGTAGACGTTACTCATTGCTGGACATCAAATACACGTTGTTTAATAAGTCCAAAATACCAAACCTATCAAAAGGACATACTTTCAAATAAATATATTCCCCGAAGAAACCATCACTAAAAACTGCAGAAATTCATTTTTATAATGAAAAGTAGTGACTAAAATACAATTAAGCACAGTGATTTTATTTACAATTTTTTCATTTATATAAATATACTATTCTTTTCATTTACAAGTATATAATGCTAATAACCTATTTCCATATTCTATACTTCCGATTTGTATTTGTAAGAAGGCAATAATGATATTTTTATTATTACCATATCCATTTTTGTAAAATATATTAAGGATATAATTTAAAAGTGATCTTCAGAAATCCTTGACTTAAAGATTGTGGTTTTTAGTGTTCATCTCGAAGACTTATATATTATTACCTCTTTGTGTGCGTGTATGTGTCTGTGTGCTATTGTCCGACAGTCCACACTTGTATTTTGAACATACCTGTTGTGATGAAAATTCACACAACGTCATACAATGTTGGTACATACCTTGCTCCTTGCTACTTTGTTTTGTAGATCAGATTAAAAAAGATCAGACTGGTTGCCATTTTATTTCAATGAAGTCTGTTCAAAATTTACGCATACATCATACTTCTTGGGTTGCATTGCTCTTGCATTTATTTCATAATCTGATTCAAGATGGCAAAATGAGAGCAATTTTAGTGCTAGAAATCGAAGTCAAGAGTTTCAACCATTTCATGACCCGATCTCATGACGTGCACCAAGCATGTTTTTCAGATGAGATTTTGTTATAATGCTGCTCAGAGCTAACCGTGTTTAAACTTTACACATGCTTCATTCATCATGTATCATGTATGTCTATATGCACATCCATTTGTTTCCCATTCACGTCAAATGGAATTGATTTAAAAAAAAAATCAAGCTTCACACATAGTACATATCAGTCAAATTCTGTTGTCAAATGGTGGACTAGTTTCAGTTTTGTTTACATGACTGGTACAGTGACTTGTACTTTATGATATTGTTCCCAAAACCTAGTCAAAAATGAATCAAACGTCTTTTTCTATTACCCCTTGGCTCCAATAAAAATGGTCTTATCATATCTCTGAATTTAAAAAAAAATTTCATACTGGTAAAAGACATATATATATATATAAATACATATAAACTATATATATCTATGTAACATTTTTGAAACAAATCGTTATGCTAAATTGTTGGTCCTATTTGTGAGATGGTTGCCAGTATGAACCATTTACAATGAGGTCTGACAAAGAATAATAGTCACTCAAGTAAGTATATACTGTAAAATGACTAATTTTCACTGGGTTTAAATTTGCTGATTTAGCATTTCAGGCATATTCAGTGGTTTTAAATTCACGATTTTATCATTTAGATAATGTGTTCTATGCTAAATTTTACATATTCACAGGGTTTTTAATTTAGCGCATTTCCCAGTCAGCGAAATAAGCAAAATTAAAACCCAGTGAGTAATTAACCCTTTTACTGTACCACTGTCTACACTCATGTAAATCTACATCTCTTAGGTAATCCTGGAATTGTTGGGTTTTATGAGGATTTTATGTTAACACTATATGATGCAAGCAGTAGAAGGGTACCTGTATGGGGAATATCACATGCTGGCCATGAACTGACCCCAGGCATGAACAAAAGATGTTGCACTTGGAGTAAGTATTGCCAATATTCCGTAATTTATGATATGATACCCATCCATTACTTGGCATGTTGGCTTGGGATTATTTATTCAGGAGAATTGTTATTTTATTGCATGATTGGGGAAGGGCAATGCATGGTTGTCAGACCCCAGCACCAGTGTCTAATTAGTCTCAATGGTGTTAATATCTGTCATACCTTGATACTATCTCTGTCATGCACAGATACTATTTGTCATACCCAAGTACTATTGGTGTTGTACTTGTTGTACAGTACTGTAAAACCATTTATTTTCACTGACATATAATTTCACTATTTCGATGCTTTTAGTTAGCATATTCACTGTGTTCTAATTTCATGAATTTGTCAAGAAAACAATGAGTTTTATTGTTATTTTACATGTTCATGTAGATTTAATTTAGCGGTTTTTACTTACCAGCAACTTAAGCGAAATTAAAACCCAGTGAATAATTAGTGAATTTACAGTACATAATCATATAAGTGTTTTCTTTTATAGAACATAATGAGAAATTGAATTTACGTGGACAAGTAAAACATAAAGTAGATTTCATTAAGAACCACATATCACCAGACACCAAGGTTATTCTTATAGGACACTCCATAGGTAAGTATCATCTCAGATTTTGTTGGGGGGACAATTTGATACTGAATAAGTATCTGGGACTCGTCTGTTAAACTTGGTCCCCACGCTAGGTTTGAAATATTTAACTGGGGTTTCACGGGGGGTACTGCTGCAGTGGACAGTTTGCTGATTGACAGAAGCATGATCACAGCGATAACACTAAACTCTAACTTTTTATTATCACAGAATCCCTGAAGGAACTGAACACTAGCTAACACAACGTGTAAGTTCAGTAGCATGTACAAAACTATGTAGGTCCCACGACAAAACTTACAGCAGGCAGCTCACTGGTAAACAACAACACAACTAGAGAATTCTACTTTTTTGAATAGGGGGGTCCCCTATTGAGAGTAAAAGCCCGCGAAGAGTCCTGATTGGTCAAACGATGATCACTCTCACATCATGAATAAATGGAACAGTAAAACCAAATAATCAATGCACTATGTAAAGATACAATAAACGATAATGATAGAAATAATTTGTTATTGATTGCAAATATTCTTGATGTATTATCGATAGTCTCAAGAACAGATTTAATTTCATCAAGAACCTCTAATGTCTGTCACTGTTAGTCAGCATATTGGAGTATTACATTGAAAGCAGTATACTTAATCCGTCGCTGAATTTGTACTTAAGTAAAGCATTCATGATTTGATTTGATTGAAATTAAATTATCTTAAAATAGAATGCTACACAAACATAAAAATATTGTCATATTCATTATTTTTTACATATTTGATATATCATGTTACAAAGATTAAGAAAATTAAATAAAATTATTGGGTCACCATACTCAGTTCAGAGAAAATCATACAAAAAAATGCAGTGAAAATAGCATGTTTTGTCTGTGTATGGCTAGGATATGTTTCAACATCTCAAAATTTTGCTTGGCGACATATGGTGCAAAAAAAATAAGCACACATGTAAAAAACTCGTGAGAAGCATTCTACCTACAGGGTGGCATAATTTCCAAGTTGAGGTGTTTATAGAAAAGTGGAATGTTGAAATTTTTTCTGAATTATTTGTTATTGCAGCCTATCAAGAAAATCCCCAGGAGGTCGACCCCTTATTCTGAACTAGATTAATATGTGACGCCGTTTGGATCCTATCATTAATTCCTTATTTCCTAAAATGTTAAATGTGTAAAAGTTGAGTAATATTGAGGTTGAATCGTTGTTCAGGGATCTGTTGGATTTCGTGGATGTTATTCTGATTTCTCAAAACTGAATACAACCTATTTCTCATATCTCATATCAGATGACTGTAAGCTCAGAGAAAATGGCAACCAAAGTGATAATTTACATATCTGTAGAAATAAAACGTAAAAATGATTTTCATATAAAAAAAAACATCATTCAAGCATTTTTTGGAACATCACACTACTGGAAATAATCTTTTTTTTTTTCATTTGGTTTTATAGAATAGTCAAATAACTTGGATGAGACATTCAGCTCAATCCAGTATACTATGCTATGCTATTTTTTAAAAATGCTATCTTTCAAGAAAATAATATTTCCATCCACATATTTTTATATACATGCATACATTTTTGTTTTCTTCTCCTCCACAGGTTGTTACATCATTTTAGAAATCCTGAAAGAACTACCTAGACTAAATGTATTGAAATGTGTACTCTTATTTCCTACTATTGAAGGGATGTGGGAGTCACCTAAAGGTACTTGGATGGCTCCTTTTTTGGTGTATTTAAGATGGGTAGCTATACTACCAGTATATTTAGCATCGTATTTGTCTCCATGGGTTCAATGGAATCTTATACAGTGGTACTTCAAAGGACGTAAGGTGAGATACAACCTGCAACAAATCACTGCCAGTCGCAACATATTTATATTGTGACTTGTTTGTTGCCACAGACAGTCATAAGAGTTTTTTTTTATGCCGAATTGTAAAACCAAAAAACCAATTGAAGAGAAACCTGAAAAATTCCGAAAACTGACACTATTAATCATGCATCTTGGACATGTTTTAGTGGATCATTTTAAAAATTTACACATAGACAGTACATAATATGAGGTTATTAAGAGGATACCTCAAAGTATGCACAAAGACAGTACAGCGAAAGTAACGACTGACACGCAGTGGAGGTGCATACTTTGAGGTATTCACGTAATAATCTTATTAGTCCCCGTTCGCACACAGTCCAAAAACGGAGACTTATGTTTTGACCTCCGTGTGTGCGTGCATCTGTGCGTGTATCTTAGAAATGCCTGGACCAATCACAATCAAACTTCACATATACATCATAAATGATATTATACATATGCACGTCAATTTGTTTCACGATCTGATTCAAGATGGCCGAATGGCGGCCATTTTCGTGCTAAAAATCATCAAAATCAAGCATTTCTCAGCTGTTTACAGATGGATTTTGTTCAAACTTGGTATATACATTAGACATTATAGGACCTTGATGCACACCATTTTGTTTTACGATCAGAGTCAATATGGCCGAATGGCGGCCATTTTTGTGCTAAAAAATCCTATAAATCAAGCATTTCTCGGCTGTTTACAGATAAATTTTGTTCAAACTTGGTATATACATTAGACATTATGGGACCTTGATGCAAATA